TCGGGGGGGGGGGTAGTGAGGAATTGAGCTCACTACGGTCCAAGAAATTTTGATAGCACAGTGACCATGGAAGAGTTAAGGGTGTCTCATTCACTAAGCGAAATGAGCTCTTAGTTTGCCGCGCTGTCCATTCACTGCAATTGCTTCTCCCGCCCCCCCCACACACACCTTCCAACTTACACCAGCAGTCGGGCTTGCAGGCTTGTGGTTCCACAGTCATTCAGTCAGCTGAACACTATCAGTCTCTATAGGTGTCCGATCTGTGCTGTTTCGCGTACGGATTGATGTGTCTATGCGAGTGTATGCACTAGCAAACATCATCCTCATACATACTCACTCGGGTAAGCCTGAGTAGGATGTAGCTCCCGGTACACCCGTGCCCGTTTTTCGTACAAGCGTGGGCACGTGGGCACGGTTGCGTTCAACCGCACACTCTTGTGCGTATGTGTGCATATCTACAATTCTGCGCTTATAAATATACTTACACTGCCATGCGAGACTCGGACTGGACTGTCCGTAAAGTTTTGACGGACAAGCAACTGTCAAAGTCGGTCGTCTCATCGTCTGACCACAACAGTGTGTGTGTTCACATGCGTATGCGCATAGGTGGAGATGATCATCATCATATCATTTTGTTACATGCATCTTGTTTTTTTTTCATGGAAGTACCCTTAGGCGTGGGAACGGACGAGCTAGGCAGCCGCGCGGCATGCATCGCAAACAGTGTCAATAGCAGCAGTGGCAATGCACACACAGCACGCACGAATCCACACCTCATAATAGTCCGAGAATGCAATTTGAATTTAGAGCTTGAAGGGTTGTGTGCGTGGATGCGCGCGTTGCACACAATGAACACGCTGGTTGTCTCTGTGTGGGTATGTGACGAGCACTCGTTTTGGTACAAAAGATGCTGATCAAAATGAATTTTTTTCAATCATTCCCCCACTTGTTCAGGCATGGTGTTTTCCCCTGAAAAAAAACGACAAAATATAAACTTACAGTCGCTCTGTCTCTGTATAAGAACTACAATTCAATAGCATATTTTATCAGGATTATCGGAATGTCCCAAATGGTAATCTGACTTCAGTTTTACACAAAATAAGAAGTTACCAAGGTTTTTTTTCAAATCATTCTTGTATAATTAATGATTATACAGTGAAATTCAGTCACGAGAACATGTTCAATCATGGAAACCTATGCCCTGGTATTTCCAGTGATGAAATACACGCGGCCCAACAAGGAACCGATCAACAACGAAGTTGGGAGGCGTTGACATAGTTCGAACCTCGAGCGTTAGGAGCTAAAGCAGGCAAATGACCACCATAAACTTGGTGTTTTTGCTCTTCAACAAGATGTGGTGAAAGAAAATGGAGAGCAATGGGGTCCTTAGAAAGGTATTTTGTTAGTATAGTGTTGTTGAGGAATTTTATGATGAGTAAACGTATCCCTAAATCTGTTGAAGTACCTTGCCTCCTTCGTGTGTTTTGTGTGTGCTTGACAGTAGAAATCGATTTATATACAGCAGTTGAAGTGACTACTAACGCTGCCACTATGAGACGTGCCAGGATAGCAGAAAATGTGCACGGAACAATCCATACTTGCCTTCGACCGGGCGATTCACACATCTTTCCCTCACTAGTTTTCTGTTCTCAAGTGCGAGAAGCGAGGGCACGATCGAGTACGAGCGCCATCTGCACCCGGCATGGCATGGTTGTTGTACAACCACAGTCCACGCAGGCATTCGCTGGTCTTGATGGGGTGTGGGTGTGGAGGTGGCGAAGTGAGGAAATGTGTATGGAACACTCGTGTTGCGGGTATCTGCATGTTTGTTTGTTTGTTTACGTACGTTTGTGTGAGCATGTGCATCCGCGTGTGACAACTATGTAACTGTAATCTGAGGCACTTGTCCGCCGAACCAGTCGATTGCCTCGTGG